GCCCACCACAACACCTGGCTGTTTTTTGGTTTCAGCCATCATTGTTGTTTGGCGGGCCTGGGCTGGATTCGAACCCGCCAGCTCAGGTGTATATGGCTGGAGCCTTAGCTGCTTGAGCCACAGGTGCCGAGCCAGCAACTGCTCTTGACTGGCTTGATCAAGTAGGAAAAAAAGAAAGACAGAGGAGGAGAGAAGAGAGAGGAAAATAATCTATTGTCTCACATGAAATACACCTTTATTCCAGATGTCTGGTGACACAGAGCACCTTCAGAAGGGTCCCGGTGACTGGCTGATGACCCACTGGATGACCTTCCTGGGTCAGGAACAGGAGGGCTGATTTTCCTCTCTGTGCAGCTGGGGGAGGAGGTGTCACCTGAGCAATATGTCCCCAGTTCAAACCCACTATGACACTCACTAGCTCTGTAGCCCTGGGGCCCTGGACAAGCTGCTAATCTCTCTGGCCTGTTTCCTCATCTGTAAGGTAAGGAAGGGTAGCAGACCCATCCCATAGGATGGCCTCAGGGTTTACACGAAAGTATATTTGCAAACTGCTTAGAATAGGGCCTGGTGTGTGGGAGGCCAAAGTGTTCTGAAGAAACAGGGTGACAATTACTTTGTATCAAATAGTGAGAATGTCACAAACACACCACTTTTAAATCCTCCTTGTGTCTCCAGCAGTTTCTGATTGATGAATTTAAGTTTTAAACACCTCTCTTGTGCAGCATAGAGAGAAATACTAGGCTCAGAGCTCCAGTGAACAACAGTATCAGGATGATTACATCAGTTTTATTTGCATAGTGTTTTTTTATGATCACTTTCAATTTGGGGTTAGTGCTACCTACTTTCATTTAAATCTGCTATTTAATTTATTTTTCCTTTTAAAATTAACTTTAGGGGCTTGGTACCTGTAGCTCAAGCAGCTAAGGCGCCAGCCACATACACCAGAAGTGGCAGGTTCGAATCCAGCCCGGGCCTGCCAAACAATGACAACTGCAACCAAAAAAAAGCTGGGCGTTGTGGAAGGTGCCTGTAGTCCCAGCTACTTGGGAGGCTGAAGCAAGAGAATCACTTAAGCCCAGGAGTTGGAGGTTGCTGTGAGCTATGATATCACAGCACTCTACACAGGGCGATAGCGCAAGGCTCTGTTTCTAAATAAATAAATAAA